AAAAGGGGTCTGTGGTCTCAGCGGTCTAAGGGCATAAACCCTTTGACTGTTTCGGTCATTTAAAAGTCTTACGTGTCCTGTTTGGACATTTTATTACGTAAAGTAAAAGGGCACAAGTGAAACTAATGTGACATTTTTTTGTGGCAACGTTTTGCTTCCAAGTTTTATAAACCTTTACAAAAATAATGGACACGGGGTATATAAAGGCTCAGAGTAGGTCGATAGTGAGGTACCTTTAGATTTTCCTTGGTAGTATGAGTGACAAAAGTTTTAGTAGTAAAAAATATGGTAGGCATTTTTTCGTACATGATAAAAGGATTAAAAGCTATTCCCGGGGGTAACATAAAATGGTTGGACAAAAAAGACTGAAAGAGGCAGCCTGTTTCAGTGTTCACTCTCAAATGTGCTTTGTGTAGTTAACAGGGGGGAACTTGTGAGGGCAGGGTTTATGTTTTCGGGAGGATTTAGTAAGATTCAGAGTGGTTAAAGTGCCGTTGTTTTTTTTAATTGTTTTCGAAACACGATCAGTGCTGATTCAGGTACTTGCATCGGGAAATTAGTTTTTTAAAAACACAAATTTGGGCGCCCCTTGAATTTCATGAATGTTGGTAGAATTTCGATGTTGTACACGGGGTTTTCAAATTATGTTCCCCATGCGTAAAAAGTGTTTATTTGTGGGTGTCGAGGTTTCTTGCTGTTTCCCTAGAAAATTGTCCAGCCTCCACGGGTATAGTGTAAAAATCCTGGTTTTTATGGTTTGTGGTGCTTGGATTTTGTTTGGTTAGATCCCTTTTTTGAAGTGCTAGAAGCGATGGCGACTCGGTGTTTGCTTTGAAAGTACTTTTGAAAAAGTTAGTGCAATGGTGTTGAGAAGAATTTTAAAATTTTTTTGGGGTGGTGTTGGTGGTGAGAAATTTAAAGATTGAAAGGGTCTTTTCTTGCAGCTTTGATGAAAAAGGGGAAAGGGAAAAAGTAGCCAGTGAATGTTTGGTGAATATATTACATTCCCGTCAAGAAAAACAGGACTACAAATTCGGTATGCCTTAGGAAAAAACCCGATGATGATGCCCTTTTGGGCTTGGGATTTTGATGGAATAGAAGTGTGTGAGATCATTTTTTTTTGGGGGTTTCCGATAAAATTGAAATTTAGGGTTTTTGCTACTTTTTAAGAGGAGCGGGAAAGGTTTCTTGTCATTGGACTTTTTCTAGTGTAAACGGGGTCGCCAGTTCAAATGCTTTTAGCCTTGCCCAAAGATTCGTACATAAAAAAGTTTGGGAGTTATTCGGGACGTGTCCCCGTAACGTAAACCCAAATGACGCTTGAAAAGGGGTTGTGGCGACGTGTTCGGACTCTAGGGGTTCCATGTATAAGTTGGCAGGCGCCTGAGGGGGGGCCCCCTTCCCTGCCCTAGGTTTTTTTGTTAAACATGTAGGAATATAACTTGAACAACGCCTGTGTCAACTCGAAATTCTACCAACATCTCATGAAATTCAGAGACGCCCAATTATATTAAAGAAATAATTTCCGCAGACCAATGCCTCGAATCGCACTGATCGCTGTTTCAAATACTTTTAAAACAAAAAAACGGCAGCTTCAACCATCTCTGAAGTTTAGCAGAACCCTCCTAAAAACGGGAAACCCTGCCATCAATAGTCTCCCCGTTATACTACACAAAGCACATTACAAGAGTAAACACTGAAACGGCTGCCTCTTTTCCAGTCATATTTGCCCAAACTTTTTTATTTTCCCCAAGTTTAATTTTTTATCCTTTATCATTCGAATTAATTGCCTACCATATTGTATTACACACTACTTTTGTAAAATTTTTTACTACTCTACTAACATAGTAAACATCAAAATGGTACCTCATATACTGCCCTCCTCTGAGCCTTTATATACCCTCGTGTCCATGTATTGTTTGTAAGGGGCTTGTAAGCCCCTGGAGAGGAAACGTTGCCACAAATAAAATGTCACATTAGTTTCACTTGTGTCCTTTTACTTTCATATTTTGGGAATTCTACCAACTTTTATTACATATTTAACGTGTATATTGGGAGTTTTGGGGGGATAGTTGTGTATTTTATTGTGTATGTTCTAGCTGTTGTTTTGACACCTCTGCAAAAACAGTGTAAAGTGGGTGTGGTGAAAGTGTTTTAATGTAGAAAGTATTTTCTTTTTGGGGATTTTCTTTCTTTTTTTTGGTCCCCGCCCCGGTGGGGGACGGCCGACTTTTGAAAAAAAAAAAAAAAAAAAAAGTGTAAATTCTAGCAGCTTCAAAACAAGGGGAGAAAGCTGGTAGGCTTTTTATGGGGGAAAAGAATGGGTTAGTGGTGGGTGGCACCCCGTGAAAAAAAATTTCTGGGACTCAGTTGGTGATTGTGGGGAAGTCTCTTGGTAATCCCCTTTTTCCAAAGCCTCGTGGTGAGTACCTCACTCCTGGCGGATTTGGGGGTCTTTTGTTCCCCCAAATGATAGCTTAACAGCGATGGAGTGTCATGAAAGTGAATTCCCAAATTTTCAAATGGGGGTGCCAAAAACTGCCCAGGAAAGTAATTAGTGATAAAACCCAGTGACCACGACCCTTTCCCCTCAGGTGCTGGACCGGGTGTTTACATTCACCATCCCAGGACAAAAGAGGAAACTATTTGCCCATTACAAGACTCAATTTTGGCGTGAAAGTGATGTGATAGGATTTCAAAAATTTTTAAAGCATTTTTGCGACAGTGAGGGTGAAAATTCCCCCGTGAAGGGCAGTTTTAGACTAGCATGCAGTCTGGTATTGAGTCATTTGCTGTTCCAAGGGGAAGGGGTAAATCTGAGCACATCCCAGGCCCCACACCACGACCCGATAGTGAAGAAACGATATTGTTACATGGGGATGAAGATGGGTGAGGGCAGAGGTGGTAGTGGTGGCAGCACGAGTCATGTGGGACAGCAGT